CGCAGCTGTATTTTCAGCATCATTACTCCAGTCTTCAGTGTCACATGATCCTTCAGAAATCATTCTAATATGCTGATTTGCTGATTATCAATATTTAAAACAGTTGAGTACATTTTTTTTTCAGGATTCTTTGATGAATAGAAAGATCCAAAGATCAGCATTTATCTGAAATAAAAAGCTTTTGTAACATTATACACTATTCCATTCAGTATAATTTTTATAATTTTTTTGGGAAAGAAATTAATACTTTTATTTAGCAAGGATGCTTAAAATTGATCAAAAGTGATGATTAAGGCATGTATAATGTTACAAAAGATTTCTATTTCAGATAAATAGTGTTCATATCGATATCGGAATTATATCGTATCGACCGAAATTAAGAAATATATCGTGATATCAATTTTGTCCATATCGTCCAGCCCTATGGAAAACCAAAGAATGTTCTGGGACCTGAAGGATTTTTCTGAAGAACAGCAGGCAGTTCAAGACAAACAAGGGACTCGTGAACAACTATCACAAAAAAAAACACACACACAGCTGTGGATCATCCAGGTAACTTTTGAATGGGGTATTTTTATAGGTCAGGTCAGTACCAAATAAAAAATACCATGCATTTTTTATGATCCCTCTTATTTTGGTAAAATAATTCACATTTTGCAGATACTGCAAAGTGTATGTAAACTTTTGACCACAACTGTATACCAGCTGGTACATTTCTCTGTGCTCTTTTTTTTTTTTTTTATAGACGAGGGGTGCTGCTTTCTTCATAATTGCTGTGATCTGCCTATTGCTCTTTGATAATGATGATCTCATGGCAAAAATGGCAGAGCACCGTATCCTTTAAAGACTAAAAATATGTTTTTACTTTTATTATATCAAGGTGTAATGTATAATTTTATGACACCATACAGGCAAAATGTAAAAATTATTGATTGTTTTTAGATGAAAAGGAAAGTCATTTCAAAGGTGGAAAAAGTTATTTCATAAGAATTTTATTATTTGGAATGACATTTACAGTCACCATCATGAGTGTGTATTTGGTAGGGGTGTTAACAGTCCACTCAAGTCACGATTTGGTTCAATACACGATACTGATCTCATACAATACTCTCACTATACTTTTCAAACAAAGCCAAAATAGAGATAAAATGGTTACTTTTAAATTATTACTTCTAAGACATGTAAACATTTAACAAAATTTGGTATTGCATCAGGGTTGAACTTGAATCTGCTTGGACTTTGGTCCTTCTCCGCCATGTACACGTGCATTCTGCATTTTTAGCTAAGCAGAATCATGAATATTTCTATTCTGGTATTACCATTGCCCTATGGTAACACCAGAATAGAAATATTCATGATTCTGCTTGGCTAAAAATGCTGAATTATATACGCATATGCTTACACTCTGTCCCTGACTACTTGCATTTAAAAACCGTTTTTGATATTATATTTTATTAAATAATGTATTTTATTTGTAATTTATTTATTTACCATATATAATGTTAAATTAAATCTGTCTAAATTTAAATTTTTAGTGAACTATACACAATAGAGAGAGAGAAAGACTCTTCACAGTACATATTGTTGCAATATATTGTTACACCCCTAGTATTTGGCACTTTTAACTTTGTGGTGTTATCTACAACTGTATAGACTTTAACTCTACTTCTTATAGCCGAGGGACACCATGACAGTGCTCTTACCCATGCGCTGTACACAGGAATTGCATTTTTAGGTGTGGCGGACCACAAGGTGTGTTTTTGATCACTATTTTAAAATAGTGTTGTGTCATTGTTTATTTCAGTACAGACTCATTTACTCACTAATGGTGTGATCTGATGGAGAATCAGCGAGATCATGGTGATTAACTTTCATTTTCTGAGTAGGGTGGAGTGGTTCTTCTGGTTCTAGCTCTGTGCCTGAAGGTGGCCTTCAACACAGCATCTAGAAAATTGTCAGTGGATATTGGGGGCGCAAAACGCCTTCATGCTTTATCTAGCCTGGTGTCAGCTGTAGTTCTACTGCCCTGGGTCATAGTGCTGTCTGCGACCACTGAGGTAAAGACCAGCAGAAGCTTTCTTCATAATGTAGTGGTTCTCAACCTGGGGTGCTTTGCAAACATCCAAACTTTGTGGTAGGATAAGTGTGATTTCTAGACCTGAAAAATGACCTGGGGATGCAACATACTGTATAGATACTGTAGTATTAAATTGAAATTAGTCTTATTATTACTAGTTGGAGGCTGTTAGTACTTCTAATTTATCGACTTTTAGGAGTACACTAGTATATTTATATGACCTAAAACTAACAGACATGGACTAAAAGCCACACAACTTCAATTCTGATTTCAGTGGCAATCAATTGGTACCTGAGAGTATACATTTTTTCAATCAAAATAGTGTACCATATTGCAATATATTGATCTTAATATAAGCATTTTAAATTATACAGACATTTCTATAAGTTCTTGACCTTTTTAAAATGAAAATCCTCAGAGTAAGGTAGAATCCTGGTCTGGCCTCATCTTGCCATTCGCCATGATCATCTTCTCTGTGATGATACTGGACTTTTACGTGGAATCCATCTGCATGGCAAAGCTGGAAACCTCACGCTGCGCTCGATATGGCTCCATCTTCCTGTTCCTCAGCGGCCTGCTGCTGGCAAACTTCTGGACCCACCCGCTAACCGACCAGCTCAGAGCCGTGAGTAAGTCAGTCCAGCAGAGTAGCACTGAGCATGTGCTATCAGGTGGAGTCCTGGTCAGCGCCTGCTTCTTCATCATGGGTAAGTTTATATATCTGATAGAAGATTTAATGTTGTTTTTAAAAATTTGAAAGTTTTATATATTCTCCCGTCACAGAAGCAATCTGAGAAAAAAAAGTACAAATTCTCATCACAATGTTGTAAATGTTAAAACATTTACTGTTTTAAAACAATACATTTTACTTTTTCCTAATTGAATGAACCATTTGATGTTTTCAGCTGATAGCATACTGTCAGCCCCATCTTCAAAGGGTCAGAAGGGAACATTGGTGGGTTATTCCCCTGAAGGAACTCCTCTGTACAACTTCATGGGAGATGCGCTCCAGCACACATCCCAGTCTCTGCCTCGCTTCATCAAAGACTCGCTCAAACAGATCCTGGAGGAATATGATTCACGGCAGATCTTCTACTTTCTATGTCTCAACCTGGTACGCTTAGCTCATGTTTTTATTAGATTTTGGTCAATGAGTGTACAGTGGGGAAAATATTTATTTGATCCCCTGCTGATTTTGTAAGTTTGCCCACTTACAAAAAAATGAAGGGTCTGTCATTTTTATGGTAGGTTTATTTTAACGTATAGAGACAGAATACCAACCAAAAAATTCAGAAAAAACACATTATATAAAGGTTAGAAATTGATTTGCATTTCAGTGAGTGAAATAAGTATTTGATCCCCAAGCAAAACATGACTTTGTACTTGGCCGGGCGGGGCTAGTAGCCTCGGACCTGTAGCACCGAGGCCAAAATCACGGTGCGTTTCCACCGTCGGGCCAGAAGCTTCACTGTGCTTCACTAAAACCTGCCCTTTACACGCCTCTCAGGAACAACGTCACGCAACCCCATCATTTCACCAACAAAGAGAAGTTATCAGAAAACTAATATGAAATAAGTCACTGGAACTAGCGCGATCACAAAATGAACATGATAAAAGTGTCCGTTTGTTTGTATGCTTTAAAGATTTAAATCCAAAAGCATCAATGTTTTACAATAATACGTGATACATTGATCATAATTAATTAATTTATCAGGATTGAAAATTAGTCACACAGAAATAAAGCGGTATAAACATAGCCTATCTACTTATTCAGTCGAGTCTGCTTCTGTTTATTTGTAGTCACAGTATATACATCACATTTAGAAAGAATGATCATTTCTATATTTTTGATAAAGTTCCCAAACAAAAACCATTATTATATTTTTATGACATACGCGGAGCTAAACTCTCGCGACGAGATACCTACTTATTCAGTCGAGTCTGTTTCTGTTTATTTGTAGTCACCGTAATGCATCACATTTAGAAAGAATGATAATTTCTATATTTTTATAAAAGCTCCCGAACAAACACCATTATTATATTTTTATGACATATGCGGAGCTAAACTGTCGAGACGAGACTTATGACAAATAAAATATGTTACTAAATAAATACACGATTGTGATAGAGAATAAGAAGCTTACGTCTGATTTCTTCAAGCGGTCGTATTTACCATGTTTACTATCGAGCTATACTAGCGTGCATAGTCTTTTGCATCACTTATAAATATTTCTGCCTTGTATGGTGATCATAATCCACTTCGGATCAAGTTATTTAAAACACTCGCTGCTGTCTGAAAGTGAGTTTTGAACTAAAATTATTGTAAAAGTCTTTAATGCTGGTGTTATAGCTGTTAACTTTATGAAATGATTCGCGGCGCTGACGCTCTCCAGACGCGGAGAAACTCCGCCTTTGTTCATAACTACTCCTCTAGCCCCAGCTGGCCCGCTTTGGTCCAAGGTTTTCGTCGGGCCAAAAAACCCGGGCCGTTGGCCCAGAGGAAGCACGATCACGCCCCGGAAGTGACAGTGGAAACGCGACTGGCCCTGGCACGCACTAGCACGCCTGCTTTTGGCCCGACAGTGGAAACGCGGCTATTGATCTTATCTCTCTCACTCATTCTCTCACAGTCAAAACAGGATGGACTATGAAAAGCGTGTGAGGGCACAAGCTAAGAGATTCGCTCCGACATAGAGCAGCATGTGCACAATCTAAAAAATTCTGCACAGATGCCATTCTGATGCTCCAGAATCCTTCACCACTCAAAGAAAACCCCAAAACTGCAGTTGTGAGTTGAAATAAAGATTTGTTCAAGTTGGCTTCAGCACAGAACTGAATGAGAATGGGTGCAAAACAATTCTAAAATGAAAGCAACCAAGACAAGTTAATGTTGGCTGCTGATCACTGACCAGTGTTTTATATAGTGATGGTGAAATCTTGTTTTGTTTAGGGTTTTTTTTTTTTTGATGAGGAAAATTGTTGGTGATCAGTCCTATGCTGCTGTCTGAAATTGAGTTTTGAACTAAAATTAATTTAAAAGTCTTTAATGCTGGTGTTAGCTGTTAACTTTATGAAATGATCCGCGGTGCTGGCACTCTCCAGACACAGAGAAACTCCGCCTTTGTTCATAACGACTCCTCTAGCCCCAGCTGGCCCGCTTTGGTCCAAGGTTTTCGTCGGGCCAAAAAAACCTGGGCCGTTGGCCCCGAGGAAGCACCAACGAGGCACGATCAAGCCCCGGAAGTGACAGTGTAAACGCGACTGGCCCTGGCACGCACTAGCATGCCCGCTTTTGGCCCGACAGTGGAAACGCAACTAATGTGCTTCTTCTTGAGCCACTCCTTTGTTGCCTTGGCGGTATGTTTCGGGTCATTGTCATGCTGGAAGACCCATCCATGACCCATCTTCAGTGTTGTGGCTGAGGGAAGGAGGTTCTCGTCCAATATTTTACAATACATGGCCCCGTCCATTTGCCGCTCAATGCGGTGAAGTCGTCCTGTACCCTTAGCAGAAAAACAGCCCCAAAGCATAATGTTTCCACCTCCGTGCTTGACTGTAGGGATGGTGTTCTTGGGGTCATAAGCCCTATCCGGACAATAATTGTTTCTTAGGGGGACGTAAGGGATTTTCACCATTTACAGGGGGTAGTCTGTGATTTTATTGCCGTCCGAATCCAGAATGTCTGTGTTTTTCTCCAACCACCCGTGTAAAACTCCCCGGCCGAATTACCTACTGTTTTTTGACAAACACCAAGGTCGTGTGGTGATTTAATTACCGTCCGAATCCACATCTTTGAGTTTTCAAAAAGAAATCAATATAAAATTAATTGTTTAAATCTTTTTGTCCACTGCAGAGCACCGTATGATAGGTGTTGAGCTTCGCCGTAATTTGCACGCATTTTAAAGATATAGCCTACATTTATTACGGAAATGTTGTAAAGTATTTAAGAACAGTATTTAATCACCACAGCGGCCGGAAGATGTTGAGAACAATTTATTACGGAAATGTTGGAAAGTATTTAAGAACAATATTTATTCAGCTGGAAGATCTTGAGAACAAAAAGAAGAAAGAGAAATAAAGCACATTAGGCTACATTTAAAATGGGCCGTTATTCTGGCAGCAACAGGTGTGCAATACCATTTTAAAATACGTGGCCTATTATATATTATTACATTAAAAATATAAACCAAGCAGCTTCATGCTTACTTCATGTAAATAAAAGGCTGCATTATTATTTCCACTAAATTCCCCATATTAAAAATGACATCATTTGAGAGAATTGCAAGACAAACCATTCATCTAGCCTATAATAGCGCGTCTGTCTTTCTATTTTTAAACAGGATATTTAAATAATAAAAAGATACGATATTGTTATTACATTAAATATTCATTTATTCTCATTATTCCAAGCATGTGCCATTTTATTCACAGCAGACAATCATGCAACCGACCACGTGAGCGTTCCCACAAAACTTACTCCTCCACCGTGAATAAATCACCATCCGAATGCATGAGTTTTATCACTGAGGTGCCATGCAAATTTATTTTTACTGACGTCCACATGAGAAACAATTACCGTCCGAATAGGGCTATAGTCAGCATTTCTCTCCCTCCAAACACGGCGAGTCGAGTTAATGCCAAAGAGCTCAATTTTGGTCTCATTTGACCACAGCACTTTCTCCCAAGCCTTCTCTGAATCATTTAGATGTTCATTGGCAAACTTTAAATGGGCCTGTACATGTGCCGCCTTGAGCAGGGGGACCTTGCGGGCGCTGCAAGATTTCAGTCCATTGCGGCGTAGTGTGTTACCAATGTTTTACTTGGTGACTGTGGTCCCAACTGCCTTAAGATCATTAACAAGCTCCTCCCATGTTGTTCGGGGCTGATCCCTCACCTTTCTCGTGATCATCCTTACCCCATGAGGCAAGATCTTGCACGGAGCTCCAGACCGAGTCCGATCTGTGGGAGCCAGAATTCTTGCTGCTTGGTAGGGGATTAATACTTATTTCACTCACTGAAATGCAAATCAATCTCTAACCTTTATATAATGTGTTTTTTCTGGATTTTTTGGTTGGTATTCTGTTTCTATCCATTAAAATAAACCTACCATTAAAATTACAGACCCTTCATTTCTTTGTAAATGGGCAAACTTACAAAATCAGCAGGGGATCAAATAAATATTTTCCCCACTGTAGAAGACACTCAATTTAAGTCCTTTAATGTTAATAGCTTACAATTTTTTGTTATTTCTTTAAGACAAGTCATATTTACAGGCAATGATTGTATGGTTCAAATGTCCTAGTCTACAGAAAATTGTGGCATTGAAATGTAAACTGTCTATCTGCTTTAACTTACCTAGATTTTAATAAATGACCCATTTTAACAGTATATAAACAATCTTGTTGATCTTGATTCAGGCCTTCACATTTGTGGAGCTCTTCTATGGTGTGTGGACCAATAGTCTGGGGCTGATTTCTGATGGATTCCACATGCTGTTTGACTGCTCGGCTTTGGTTCTGGGGTTGTTTGCTGCCCTCATGACCAGGTGGAAAGCGACCAGGATATATTCCTATGGGTAAGGTTGTGCTAATTTGAAGAAAAATTCTATTTGTTATACATTTGTAACCAATTAGACTGAATTTGTTTTGTGAATGATAAAAATGCACAAAAAAAAATAAAAATACCGTAGACTTAAAGGTGCAGTCACATTTGCCATTGCTCTGTGAAATTTCACAGACGAAATTCAGTCATTCAAATAGAAATCCATGATTTACAGATTTCACTCATTTTCAAGTTAGTCACGCTGACTAACAGAAAGCTGCTTGGTTTGAAAATGACATACTATGCATAATATATTGCTATGCTGTTTACAAAAATTTTTTCCACAAAATTTTGCGGAAATATCGCTAATGTGATGCACTTTAAGATTGGAATGCAATATACATGCAGTGGCGTAGTTTGCCCCCCCCAATATTTATACCATGGTTAATGGAAACCTAGAATCAGGCTATTAATTAATTATTTAAATCACGACTTCGGCGCTTTTATAAGCGCTAACTTCACGTACAAACCGAACGTAGCAGTTACAGTTATAAGCACAATATGACTGAAGCGCAGTTCTTTTAATTGTGCACAAGCGGCGCACATTCACCAGCGCGCTCAAAGTGTGATCAGATTTGCGCGAGCCATTCCTATCGCTGATGATAAAACGTGTGATCTATTTGAATTCTTTTGAGAAATTACCACTTTAAAATGCTATGGATAAAGTCGAACATTATCTTAAAAAGGCACATGAACTAAAAAGAGGAGAAAACATAATCTTGCACCAGCACTAACATTAAAATCTTTTTAAACTACTCATGACCACATTTACCAGAAGAATTTATCACGTTTTATTGTAGGCTTATTTATTGTGGCACATTTTGTTGAACTTGTTGTAGAATTTATAATAGATAATCTGTTAAGGGAATAGATATATATTTCCCTATAGATTTATATTACAACTGTGGCGTGTTGTAGATATTGTTTCTAACTGTGCAGGCTGTTGTTTTTCATAAATGATATATAGATTAATAAAAAAAAAAAGTCATTATTGGACTGGTAATGAATAATAGGCTGGCCTTATAACAAATGCTGTTAAGAACTATGGTACATTTTCATAAGAGCAAGTACAAGTCAGAATCGAGAGCCATGTGTAAAATGTGTTCTAATGATGAGTAATGGAAAAACCTGGCCTTCAGATATTCAGAGATGGCATAGATTAAATCATTAAGAGTCTGATGAACTGTTAAGGAGTAAGAAATAAACAATATCAATATAAGAAAATGTTAAGTTAGATTGACTTCCCATGGCTTGTTGAATTAGAACATTCTGTCAAACTACAGCCTACGAGTGCCTAAATAATACAAAATACATTATATATCCTATCTAAAAAATAATTGTTAACTAGGCTATTACTTGATTGCAGTTATGTTATCAACCAACTTTGCATGTGTGGATGATAGCACCATTTTACGAAAAAAATACCATTTTACAAAAATAAACATAAGCAAACAAACATATAAATAAACCTTATGAGGGAGCATGACCTGGGACTCCACTAAAACATTTGAAAATTTAAAAATGTGTGTAGTGTATTCCAGTCTTTATAGTGAAGAGGGGACCTGGACATATCCAGAGCACAGATAGTCATAAAGGTTTGAGTGCAGATTCAGTAAGCATCCACCTTGAACACATTAGTAACCACACCGTAATGTGCTAAAAGCCACTCAGAGTCAGAACACTTAGAAGTAACATAGCAATAACAACCCCCATTGTGGCGGAGGGTTTCAGATCACTTGCATTATAAAAATGCAGTTTGCTTGTGTAATTGCTGTTTATAGATTTTTGCTTTAATGAACCATTTTCCCCTTTAAGTCAAGTCAAGTCAAGTCTGCTTTATTGTCAATTCTTCCACATGTACAGCACATACACACATATTCTCGCTGTAGTATTGCATGCTGCCATGTCGTGAAGGCGCTGTGTTTCGTTGTGAAACCGAAACTACTTTGTTTGGCCTTCCAAAAATGGATGCTACATCCTGAGTTGTGTTTCTATGATCACTTCTGAAAATTTAATTGTTAGGGAGTCGTGGCTGTGTTTAATCTGTGAACCAGGAAGTGGTTGTTTTGATTCTGTTCTTTACTAAATGATTCATTAACACGTTGATTAACACTGAATCAGAAGTTATTTTAAAAAGTTGATCCAGTAATCATAATTGATAGAAACGTCATGGAAACCCTGATTACTGAAAATGATGGATTGTGTGATTGTGTTCTGTCATTTTAGCGCTGTTAGCAGTATGACTTGTCTCATTTCAGGTATGGTCGTGTGGAGATCCTCTCTGGGTTTATCAATGGCCTGTTCCTCATGGTCATAGCTTTTTTTGTGTTTGTGGAGTCAGTCACCAGACTCATCGATCCACCAAACATCAACACAGACATGTTAACAGTATGTACAGCTGAGCTCCAAGACATTGTTGTCAGGATTGACAAAGATATTGTTGTCCATAAATGGGTTTTGCTTTAAGTTGAACAAACAAAAGTAACTCAAAGTAAACTTTCACATTTCACATGAGAATCCTGTCACCTCATGCTTATGCGTGTCCTTAAATCCATTTGTTCCTTAAAGCCGGTGTCGGTTGGTGGACTCCTCGTTAATCTGGTGGGCATCTGTGCCTTCAGTCATGCACACTCCCATGGGGCCTCCAAAGGTAGCTGCTCTGGGCATGACCACGGCCACTCACACCACGGGCACGGAAGTGGAGAACACAGCCATGGAGGACATGGACATAGTCATGGAGGACACAGTCACTCCCACGGCCACGGGCATTCCCACGGGTCTGCTGCAGCGGGAATGAATGCTAATATGCGAGGTGGGTCTGATTTGAGTGTGTATACATGTTTAATACGATGATAGATGATAAGGTTAGTTCATCCAGAAAGGAGAAGTCTATAATCATTTATCAATCCTGATGATTTCCTGCCTTTTGAGAATGACATTTCCCATTTCCTATTTGCAGGAGTGTATCTGCATGTGCTTGCTGACACGCTGGGCAGTGTCGGTGTGATTATATCCACTATTCTCATCAGACAGTTTGGATGGCTGATCGCAGATCCTATTTGTTCGCTCTTTATTGCCACACTGATTTTTCTCAGTGTCATTCCTTTGTTAAAGGACGCCTGTGAGGTTCTTCTCCTGAGAACGCCACCTCAGCATGAAAAGGACCTTAACTTTGCACTTGAAAAGGTATGAATAGAAAAAATATACACTACCGGTCAAAAGTCTGGAATAATTAAGTGTAAATACAGTAAAAACAGTAACGTTGTAAAAAATTATTACAATCTAAAACAATACTATTTAAACTGAACTGAGCTAGATGGTGACATCACTAAATTCAATGATGAACTGCCTTTAACTGAAAATGTTGTGTTTACTATTGTCATTTTGCATTATTGACACACTTTTTTCCTATTTAATGCTGTAAAGTTGCTTTGACACAATCTGTATTGTTAAAAGCGCTATATAAATAAAGGTGACTTGACTTGACTTGACTTAAAGGGGTCCTATTATGCTCTTATACAAAGCCTTGATTTTGTTTTGGGGGTGTACTAGAACAGGCTCTCATACTAGGTTGTTCGAAAAACATATTATTTTTCACATATTTTACATTATTACAACACCTCTCTCCTAAGTCTGGCATGAACGGCTTGAATAGTTCCTGTATCAAATGAAGGTTCGCCTTCTGAAATACGAAATGTGCTGTGATTGGTTAGCTGGGCCAGTGTGTGCTGTGATTGGCTGTCATGTTATCCTTCAGAGAGGATTTTAATATGCCGATGTGGTGCGATCAATTATTATTGGTACTCAATTATTAATATTGATTCTTATCATTGTCATTTTTGAAAATGGTTTTTGCTGCTTAATATTTTTGTGGAAGCCATGAAGAATGTTTTTCAGGATTCTTTGATAAGTAGTTCAACAGAAAAGCATTGCTAACCACAATTTTTTTAATGGTAGTGTATCATGGTCTTCACAAAAATATTAAGCAACAAAAACTGTTTTCTACATTGATAATAATAAGAAATGTTTCCTGAGTGCCAAATCAGCACCAAATCAGCCTGAGCACTTTTAAATTGTAATAATATTTCACAATATTACTGTTTTTACTGCATTTTTTATCAAATAAATGTAGTCTTGGTGAGCATAAGAGACTGAAGAAATAATTTTTCAAAACTTTTAATCTGTAATGTAGCTTAAAACTTTGGATTACCAAATTGAAAGCTTTACATTCCATTTTATTTAATGCTTGCTTGTTTGTCACAGATTCAGAAAATCGAAGGTGTTTTATCCTACCGTGATCCACACTTCTGGAGACATTCCGCCAGTGTTATTGCTGGAACCATCCATCTCCAACTCATGTCTGATGTAGTGGAACAGCGAGTTATTCAACAGGTATGAATGCTACATCTTAAACATGGCCTGTTTACTAATTTACAGCAATTTGTTTGCTTTACAAGGCTTTTATTACCATTTTAATAAATGTTAAACCAATGTTCCTGTGGCTCAGTGGTAGAGCATTGCGTTAGCAGCGTAAAGGTTGTGGGTTCAATTCCCAGGGAACACACATACTGATAAAAAATGTATAGCCTGAATGCACTGTAAGTCGCTTTGGATCATAAAAGCGTCTGCTAAATGCATTAATTTAATTTAATTTTAATTTTACCAAAGGGTTAGACATTTAATTAGATGTAATAGTTTCTAATATTTTGTTCTGGTTTTATTGTTGTGGACATAAATTACAAAGTGTGTAACTAACTAACCAATTCATATTGTTTCCACTGAAATTCTTCTCAGGTGTCTGCCGTGTTGAAAGATGCCGGTGTTAACAATCTGACTATTCAGTTGGAAAAAGAAGCCTACTTCCAGCACATGTCTGGCCTAAGCACTGGATTCCATGAAGTTCTAACCATGACACTACAGATGGAGTCCATTAAATATTATAAAGATGGCACATGTATCATGTAAACTTCTGTTTTAACACACAGAAATAAAGGGATTTAAGGTGTAATTTTTCTTTTTTTTTTTTTTTTTTTTTAAATAAAAAATGAACTTATTTTATGATGTCTACGACAGTTTCTGTCTTTTTCCTAACTGTTATAAACACAATAAAATATTCTATTATGAGCACAAATTTGCTTTTGCTTTTTTTTTTTATAATAAAATGTTTTTGTGTTCAAATATTTTATATTGTATTCTTGTCACATTCCTATCATTTCTATTTACAATCACTTGTTTTTACACTACACATATATATATATATATACATATATATATATATATATATAAAATTTAATTATGCACATATCAGTTACATAGAAATAAATGAAGAAACAAAAAAACTTATTTTGATGATAACCATTTATTTATTTAAATTGTTAGTAATGTTGAAAGGGAAGGCACATACCATATATTTCTAATAGCATGAAGGAAACTCAAACACTTGAGTACGTGTCTCAAACCACCAATGACAAATGAACTGGTCAGAAAGCTAAAGGTAGAGTCCATATTTATTTGTCTAATGTGCAACACATCAACAAAAGTACTTATTGTCAGTTAAAGTTTCAGTTAGCCTTATAATAGAGTGGTATGTGCAGTTAAGTTCATACAAATTATATTATTAAATTGCATTACTAATAGTAGCAGTAAACAGTATTATCATTTAACAGTTTATTATCATTATATTATGAATAAACTCTTCATAGAATTTAAAAGTAGTGAAAAGTATCGAGTAGTTAAAAACATAAGAGGAGCATACGTTGGGTTCTCAGTCTGAGCAATATTGTAGAAATACATTTACATTTAGTCATTTAGCAGACGCCTTTATCCAAAGCGACTTACAAATGAGGACAATAAAAGCAGTCAAAACTAACAAAAGAGCAACAATATATACGTGCAAATGACAAGTCAATACAAATACAAATTATTTAAGAACAAAGTTTGTGGGGTGAAAAAAGTGTATTTAGGTAACGCAGTTGCAGCCACACGCGCTCCACATCAAAAGATGGCAGTGGTGGAAAGCGCACAAAACTACAGTAAACTACAAGAAGAACATGTTCGACTGGTATCCCCGCCCCTGGGCGTCACGTGTTCATGAGTTGTCCTGGTAACGCATTGAAAGCGGCTGAGACTGAGCCAATCATATTGCAATGATTTTCGAACCCAGCGAATCACGTTCGAAAGAGCGACAATTTAAACCACGGTGGAGAATCAGGGTTATATCGAGCTCGCTTGAGTATAATCAATCAGTTTGTTCACCGAGTCGCAGCAACAAGCTCCCAAAAAAAATAATGGCTCTCCGTGTCACAAGGGTAAGTTGTTTTTAAAGTGTTTTTGGTTGTTTTAGTTATAATGCATTTATTGCATGGCGATAAAGTTCACCCTTTTGTTTATGTTTTGTTGTTTTTAATTGGTATAATAATCCCGGAAATATGTCCCTTATCTCGCACGTTAATGTTAGCGTGCTGTTTTACGTGTTAATAGTTCACTATATGATATTCGGTAACTTCCAATGCAAGTTTTGCGTAAACGTAACCCTAAAACCACGTTTTTTTTTTAAAGAGGATGTTTCGCTTACGTTGGTGCTCTTGTAATTGGTTTTTACTAGTAGTCTATACTTTCTATCCTCGTGTAACCAGTACGTGTGAACTCAAGTTTGTTTAGAATTCAAACTTGATCCTGCTCGGTCTTTTAATTTATCTACACTCTAAACCAGCTCACTCTTCATGCGAGACTGATTTGTGAACCTCTTGTAGAACACCCGCCTGGCCAGCAGCGAGAATCAGAGCGCTCTGCCCGGAAAAGCAGCGGTAGCGAACAAGCCCGGACTCAGACCTCGGGCCGCGCTGGGGGAGATTGGCAACAATCCACAGACACGACAGGCTTTGAGGAAGAAGGTAACTGCGTTCTGTCTTCTCCGGGCATTGATTTCAACAGTCTTTCTCTGTCTGACCCGTGTTGTACAACTTAAAACAGGAGGTGAAGGTTGCACCCAAGGTGGAGGTTGTGGCTGAGAAGGCACCTGTGGTTCAACAGCCCAAAAAGGTGTCTCCTAAAGTTCAGCATGACGTTCAGGTGAGCAGTAGATGGTCAGTATGGAAAAGTGCAGCCTACTAAACCACACCAAAGGGAAAGATCTACTGAAGCTGCTGTAATATCTGCAGTCCTTTGTGGCTGTTTTGTATAGGAAGGGGGGTCTCTTGGACATGTTTCTAAATGGCATAGTATCTGTTCCCAAATTTCCTGGCTTATTTCAATGTATGGGACTATTGCGTGTTCGGTTTAAGTTTTGGTTGTGTAGATTTTAAACTTACAATTTATCGCTGTAGCTTAGTCCTGGTCACCCTTGTAGTACATGACACCGACTACCATATTTGTCATCACTCCAGTGCAGCAAAATTTCAATCCGAAAGTAAGCACTGTTGTAACCTATATTAAAATGAACTGCTTGTGCTTTGTGTAATTTCACTTTTGAGTGGATCGCATTAGAGAAGGGTATAACTGCAGCCTGGAGATCTCCAAATGGGGGTGGGAGCTCCAAAATAGGGTGTGGCTTCCTCCCATTGGCAGACAAGCACATGACACATGCGCACTTTTTCCTCCAATCCACTTCAGTGCAAACTCTGCCCCACAGCTGATTCTAAAGATTTTATTGGTTGTGCGAATTTCGTGCCCCAGGATGCCCCTGCTGCTTAGAACAAAGTGATAGAGTAAAATCTTTCCGCTGCGCTGGGACGGCTCGTGGGAGAGCTCGTGGGTGGTTCCTGTTTATATCATTAAGCAGAGGTTCCAACTCCAGTCTGAACACCACTGCCCACGAGCTTTGGGCTCTGCTCTCACGGAGAATATTTACTTATGTAGCATATTTTATTTTAGATTAACTAGAAACAATGTTTAATTTATAAAGTTTTATTTTGAAATGTAAGTCAATAACAATTGGCTGGAGCCAGAGCCAATGGTGAAAGTCTTTGCGTGAGGAGACCCCGCCCCATTTTGGAGGTTCTGCCCACTTTTGGAGTTCATGCCCCATTTTGGAGATCTCCGGTCTGCAGTTATATCTACTTGTTGCATTAGGGGAAACCTGCTCACTGCTGTGTAGCTGTAGTATCCACCAGCAGGGGTCAATGCTCCCTGTTTCTGGCCCCGAGATGTTCAGATGCGTTACTATATTCTGAATTCTTGATGTCAGTTCTACTTTGATGCACAAGCATTCACCTTGGTTTTCCATTGCAGATTTTGTCTGAGCCCTCGTCTCCTGTTCCCATGGAGACCTCTGGCTGTGCTTCGGATGATCTGTGTCAGGCGTTCTCTGATGTTCTGCTTAATATCAAGGATGTGGATGCTGATGATTATGATAATCCTATGCTTTGCAGTGAATATGTCAAGGACATCTATTTGTATCTCCGTCAGCTTGAGGTTTGCTAAGAATGTGATTCTGTATCAGTTTGTATTATGTTGTGTTTGGCAAGGTGTTGAGTTTTTCTGCTTCTCTTATAGACTGAGCAAGCTGTTAGGCCAAAATATCTGGAAGGAACTGAAGTTACAGGAAATATGCGTGCAATTCTCATTGACTGGCTTGTGCAAGTACAAATTAAGTTTAGGCTGCTTCAGGAGACCATGTATACGACTGTCGTAGTAATTGATCGCTTCCTTCAGGTGGGTTCTCTTCCGGTTTTGGTTTTGTTGCGTAATGTTGTCTTGTTTTTCAATGGCCTACACTTGTCCTTCAATCAGGAACATCCAGTTCCAAAGAAGCAGCTCCAGCTTGTTGGTGTAACAGCCATGTTCATTGCCTCAAAGTATGAAGAGATGTACCCACCGGAGATTGCAGACTTTGCCTTTGTGACTGACCGTGCCTATACTACTGGTCAGATCCGGGAGATGGAGATGAAAATCCTAAGAGTCCTCGACTTCAGTTTTGGGAGACCTCTGCCACTACAATTCCTTAGGAGAGCCTCCAAGATTGGAGATGTAAGCTGGTTTATCTGACTCCTTTTAGTAGCACTTCTGTTAAGTTGCATGTTCTCACAGCATATAAATGCCATTTGTTTTGCAGGTTACTGCAGAGCATCACACACTGGCCAAGTACTTCCTGGAGCTTACCATGGTTGACTATGATATGGTCCACTTTCCTCCCTCCCAGATCGCTAGTGCAGCTTATGCCCTCACTCTGAAGGTCTTCAACTGTGGTGACTGGGTAAGTTCTTAAGCCTTTTTTTTTTTTTTTTTTTTTTTTTTTTTCTCCCCTAGAGTTATGTGTTTTAGGTTGTCAGGGGGTTACATCTTCTTCCTCTGCGTCTTATTTTTTAATTTTTTTTTTTTTGTGGGCCGTTTACCAAATGTGATAATTTATGTATTTTTTTTATATTACAAGTACACAACCATTCAAAAGTTTGGGACCAGTCCCTTTTTTTTTTTTTTTTTTTTTTATCTTTTTCTCCCCTGACCACTTCTATTTGATGCTTGCAGACCCCTACTCTTCAACATTATATGGGCTACACTGAAGATTCACTGGTTCCTGTGATGCAGCGAATTGCCAGAAATGTTGTGAGAGTCAATGAGGGGCTTTCAAAGCATCTGGTGAGTGGATTCAGCCTGACACAAAGCTGGCCTGCTTGGTTCAAGTAGTTGTTTGGTGCCTAGATGTTTTGTTAATGTGACCCACTGAAGAGTGTTTGTTTGCTTCTCCAGGCTGTGAAGAACAAGTACTCCAGTCAGAAGCAGATGAGAATTGCTTCAATTTCTCAGCTTAAGTCATCCTTGATCAAGGACCTGGCCAAGCAGATCTTGTAGTGTGGGATTGTTAAAGAGACTTAAGCACTGTGTGCTGCCTTGTAAAGAAGAGAACTAACTTATGCATGCTTTTTACTGTTGCTACTTTTATTGTGCGATTTTTACAGATTTTTATCTGCACTGCCATGTACTGAGTTAAGGTGATTGATGGTTCAAAGTGTTTATGCAACCTTGTACATTTGTTTTGAAATAAACATTTTAAGGCTCAAGCAGTGTGTATTTTCTTAAGTCGCAATATGGTGTTGTGGGGTTTTTGTCTTTTTTCACTTGTGAAAAGTTCTTCAAAACAAGTAGTGATTTTATGGAGTCAATAGTTCTAAACCAAGATTACTCTA